TTTCATGCTAGGTTGTGCTTGTTTTGATACATTTCAGATCCTAGCCCGTGTGGAAGGGTCGAGGACGAGTTTTAGGATGATTGGAGGTCGAAAAGCGCAGAATTCAAAGAAAAGTCCAAAGTGGTGACCGTGACAATTGCCACGTGATCGTGAAGCGCATGCGGCCAGGAAGCAGCTGCAGTTCACGGTCACACAAGACCGTGAATTGGAGCCACAAACTCCGAAATGGCGAGCTTCTAGAGAGTTTTCAGAGGTTACTGATGTCGAGTCAGTTAACGGTCACAAGACCGTGAACTGAAGCCATGGACCGCGAACTGGCTTAATGAAACGACGCGTCTTGGCGTGAGTTCACGGTCCCCGCCATTAGTTCACTACTGTGAACTGGGCGCGAATGGTTATAAATAGAGCTGAAAGGAGGAAGAAGGGGAGCTTTTCCTAGGGTTTTAGTTTTCAGAATAAAAGAGGGTTTCTAGTGAGAGATTAGGGTTTCCTCTTCCGATTCTAGAGAGAGAAAGTGCCATTCAAAGGAGGAAGAAGGAGTTTTGGGCTTGCCCTAAGCTAGAGGAGTGAAGATTCTTACCTCTCAAGGGAGATTCAAGCAAAGAGAGAGGAAGATTGTTATCTCTTCATGGTTCTTTCTCACCTTTTTCTTGTTTGCCTTTGCCTCGCTATGGAATAGCCTTTCTTTTCACTTGGGTATTGTAGAACCCTAACTTCTACCATGTAATTGTTTGTATGGATTGGATGATTGTGTGTGGGTGTTGTTTAATTTGACTATTAGAGGTATTTTTCATGGTGATTGTGCATTGTATGTGCTTTTCAATCTATTGTGCTATTCTAACCTAGTTTAGAGGGGAACCCCCTATTAATTGAGGCTCAAAGTGAGCTGGGATTTCCTAGGCATTCCAAGCCTCCTAGCTAGGTTAATGAAGGGCAAATCTCTACACCCAAATTGAGCATCAAGGTTAATTGTGATTAAGCCGTTCCAAACCTTGGTTTGAGGGAGAAAGTAAGTCAACCCTCAGTTACATAGGTCAAGAGTGCTACTTTGGTAGCCTATAATGCATTCCTTGGCCTAGCAATTGAGAGAGTGAGATTCATCGCTTGTTGCACCTCCTAGCGGTTCACAATTGCCTTATCCACATGGTTTCGCTCAATCCTACGAGTCATGGTAGTAAGTTAGGGGGAATCAAATCCCAAATGAAGTCCTCTCATATAGAATTCTTCTCGATTACTTTCCTTGTTTGTTTATTTTGTAGTTTTCTTAGTTTTAAACCCAAAACCTTTTGCTAGATAACAACCTAAGCGATTAATGTAGGGGTACATGGACCGGGCCCGGGTTTGACGATTAAATACTTGCCCTAAACTGCACCCGGCTAGAGTTTAAAAACTTGGGCTCTAGTCGGGATTAATTCGCGGTGTAGTTTTGAGCGAGTCACTAGTACACGTAATATGCCCCCTCAAGCGCAAGCATGGAGATCGAATATGCCATGCTTGGAAAATAGATGATGAAAATGCTTGATCCCCATTCCTTTGTTGTCGAGATCCGTCGGTTGCTCTGCCATGGGTATTTGCGAGGATCTACATCCAATGATTGGACACGCTCCCAAACAAAGTCACAATCCATCCACATGCTTAGTACATTCATGGAACACAGGATTAGTGGCAATGTGAAGAGCAGCCTGATTGTCACAATAGAGAGGAGTAGGTCCAACCCAAGGAGCACCAAGTTCTGAAAGAAGCAAGTGTAACCATAAGATTTCACAGACCGTGCTAGCAACAACACGGTATTCAGCTTTAGCAGACGAACGAGCAACAACAGACGGCTTCTTAGTACGCCAAGAGACAGGAGAGGAACCAAGATGAATGAAATAGCCAGTAGTAGAACGGCGAGTAGTCTGACAGCCTCCCCAATCAGCATCACAGTAGGCAGTCAAGAGAAGGGAACTATGAGTGGGGAAAAAGACACCACAACCCGAGGACCCCTTTAAATACCGTAGGACACAATGTGCCGCATCAAGATGAGCTTGAGTAGGAGCATGAACCGCCTTGCTAAGAAGATTGACAACATAAGTGATGTCCGAGCGAGTAACCATGAGATAGAGAAGGGGACCAACAAGCCGCCAAAAAGAAGCTGGATCAGCGACTGGAGGAGAATCAAAACGTCCAAATTGATGGTTCTGTTCAATTGGGGAAGAAGACGGGCGAGTGGCTTGAGACCAGTGTTAGCGAGAATATCGAGCACATACTTTCGCTGATTAACAACCACCCTTTTGCGAGAACGAGCCACCTTTATCTCGAGAAAGTACTTGAAAGGACCCAGATCCTTGATTGTGACCCGATCATGGAGAAATTTCTTAACAGAATGAATGAACCTCATGTTATCACCAGCAAGAATAACATCGTTGACGTAGATGAGTGCGACGACAAAGGAGGTAGTCATGCGATAGATGAAGTGGAGTGATCGGCATGACTTTGGAGAAAATGAAACTCAAGTAAAGCTACCGAGAATTTGTGATACCAATTATGAGAAGCTTGCTTGAGTCTATAAATAGACTTACGAAGACGAAAAACATGATGATTACTAGGTTGTGCAAAGACTTGAGGTACCTTCATGAAGACTTCCTCATCCAAATCACCATGAAGAAAGGCATTATTGACATCGAGATGATGAATAAACCAACCTTTCGTAACTGCAATAGCAAGGAGACATCGAATAGTAACGAGCTTGGTCACCGGGGCAAGTATCATGATAATCAATACCTTCAACTTGGGTGTAGCCCTTCGCTACAAACGAGCTTTGTAGTGCTCAATAGCTCCATTAGGGTAGTACTTAATTTTATAGAGCAATTTAGAATCTATAGCCCGTTTCCCTGGTGGTAAAAAAGGTGATATCCCAAGTGCCAATTACGACTAAAGCATCAAACTCGGTGCACGTAGCTTGACGCCAATGGAGATGACAAATGGCCTAGAAAAAATATTTGGGCTCGATAGTGACTAAAACGCGAGCGATAAAGGCTCAATGAGAAGGAGACAGTTGATGGTAATAGACGAAATTGGCCATCGCATAAGTGACGTGGTGAACTTGAGGGTCACCAGGCAAGTCTATGTCATAATCGGCAAGGCAAATAGGGGGTGCCATGCAGGATCACCATGCCGAGGTGGAGGAGCAGAATCGGTGAGGGAAATTGGTGACTCGGCATGCAAGGTGGTAAAAGGACTGGCGATGTCCGAGGAAGGAGTAGGCTAAGTGTGAGGAGTTTCAGGTGAGGAGGGCATGGCCAAAATAGTTGTGAGAAGGGTGACTTGCTCAGCCGCGAGAACAACCGTAGGTGAGAAAGAGTTGGTAGCTCCAGTGGAAGTTCCAGGACTAGTGTCCACAAGTACTGGAGAAGCTGTCTGATTAGTAGGAACCAAGAGATCATCATCCATGAGGCGTTGATAGCACCATATTTGCACACTTGTTTCTTAACCGTTTTTGCTCCAATTTATGGTTTCTTGGCCTATTTTACGCTAGGGTGTGCTATTTTGTCACATTTCAGGTCCCAGACGTTGAATGAAGGGCTAGGCACAAGTTTTGGGGCGTTTGGAGGTCATTCGATGAAGCTGGGGCAAAAACACGGGCAAACTACTCCAGAAAACGGTCGTGTTCAGTAAGGGGCACGCCAGTGCTTTTTAGTGCGCGAGCTAAATCGATGCAAGGAGCAAACAACACGAGCATCATTGACCCAAAACACGGCCGTGTCGCCAGCCCGTGTTTTTATGCCGAGAGCTTGTTGGTGACTGCTGATGAGGAGTTCAAAACACGGGCACAACTGCTCTGAAACACGGTTGTGTCACTCCTAGGACACGGCCGTGTTTTACTCGACGGGAGCGTGTATTCCACATGTGAGGAGAGAACACGGGCAGACAGAGTTAAACACGACCGTGTCCTCGATCGTGTTTTGCCCAGTGTCGGGTCAAATAGGCTTTTTCAAGCCAAAGAGAGGGGAGACGAATTTTGGGGCAAAAACAGAGTCCTAGAGAGAGAAAGTGCGAAGAACAAACCCTAGAGTTGATTTTGGAGCTGTGTTTCATCAATCAAGCTTGGATCTCATCCTTGGAGTGAAGATTATCATCCCAAAGCAGATTCCACTTTCAACCCTAATGCTCCCTTTACTAATAAGGGAAAGAAAGCCTCAACCAGAACCACATTCCTTTTGCGTGCGGATGTAGCTAAGTGTCTGACTCTATTGGTCATAGTTTCCTGCTGTTGCGGCTGGTGCTCGTTTGCGCGCGCGTGAACCAACCCAACAAACAAGGAAAGGATGCCTCTCCGGGCATCTGAGAATGATTCGAGCCGTATGAAGGGAAACTCTCACGTACAGTTTTTTTTTGGGGGGGGGAGCCCGACAGGGTCCCCCCACTGACTTGGCCCGGGCCTAAGTGAAGTGGCGGGCCTACCCATCCCAACCAGGGATATGCTGGGATTTGCGAAAAGCAGCACCTTACGATGTTCATGACCAATTGGATCCTGACGTACCAGTAGGTACCAGAGGAGATTGCTATGATCGTTACTGTATCCGTATCGAAGAGATGCGACAAAGTGTTCGGATCATTGTGCAATGTCTTAATCAAATGCCTAGTGGCATGATCAAAGCCGATGATCGTAAGCTATGTCCTCCATCACGATGTCGAATGAAACTATCCATGGAATCGTGCGCCGTGTGAAACGTAGATCATCGCCGTTCTTAACCGAGACTCAGGTTAAGCTCCGTCTCGGAACCTTGTGGGGTTAGGAGTAAAGCATCCCGAGGTTGGCGCATTTCGTTGGGCGTGGAGAAGCATTGGGAAGCCCAATTTATTTCTTCGGAGCCCTTTCTTTTCCCGTTCCCCCGCCCGGGCATAGCGCTTCGCTTCCGGTTCTTCGGAAGAATCAACAGACTTCTCCCTTCTTCATTGATCCGGGGGAAAAGGAACCGTCTACCAGTTGGGAAGCTAGACATCAAGTAAGTGGCTTGATGAGGATAACTAATTTGACACACCAGAGTTGGCTGCTGGCACAACAGGGCGGTGCCTTACTGCATCGTAGGCGAACGCGCGGTAACATTCGTGGTGGTGCTTCAGGATTCCAATGTACTGCGTCCAAGATCAAAACGAGCTTGCCGGCGGACCACTGCCGTCCCATTCTGGAGTGAGTTGGAGCGCAGCCATCTTATCCACTGAACTAGCTAGAAGCTATCGCTTCGGGTCGAAGCACTAAAAGAAAAAGACCAGGAAAGGCGGCGGCATAGGAACCACGGGACCCCCTACTAGTAAAGAGAAAACGGAAGTGCGCTCCTGCGCACCAGCTGAAAAAGCCCTTTCCCCTTTCTCTAATAATAAGGTAAGCTTCATAGCTCCAACCTATACAAGGGTTTTTGATGCCCTTTTTTAGGTTGGGTTGCTGGATACGGGATCCTCGTAGTAGGCTGGACCAACATCCAGCCGAGAGAGGGCAGCCTTTAGAATTAGAAGCAACAGGTTGGGAAACCAAGAGAACGCTTCGCGTTTTCTTATCTTCTTCCCGCCCTAGGAGTAGCACAAAAAGAGGGATTAGCATTATTGATCCAATGATAAACCACTAACACCTTCCTCGTTCCGTTTGCCACGCACCGTCCCCATTCACTTCTTTCTCGTAGAGGCTGTAAGTACACAGTGCCCCACAACTATGAATAGTATAGTGGGGTTGAAACACGAGAGTGCCCACTCTTTCTTTCAAGTAGGCCACTTTTTCCGGAACACAGTCCGGGATAACCGTGACCGTCTTGCATATTTATCAATCAACGTCGTGTAAAGTAAATTGAACCCAGATGACGAATAAGATGGAAATAATTGGGAGACGAAATGAACCAGCTCCGGACTAAAGTGCAATGCCACTAGTAAGTACAAGAATGAAGAGATCCGGAAGCAGAAAAGCATAGAGGGTAAGGGGTGAGACCTTAATCCGGGTGGCTTCTGCGCCGAAACCAGAGGCAACTGAGAGCAAACCCAGAACACCCACAACGCTGCAAACCAACAACGCCTTCCTCTCCATCCACCTTTCTTTTCTTCTCTACCTGCCGCTTCAAGCTAACAGAGGAAAATTAACCAGCCTCAAAGAAGGAAAGGCAAAAAAATCTCCCCGGACTGGGACTGGGACTGGGATACCATAGGAGAGAGAGGGAACGAGAGACACGGTTGCAGAAAGAAACGTAAAGGTGGTGATGAAAACTGAAAACGAAAAGAAAATTGTAACAGAGAGACGGGAAAGGGACCAGTGAGCGGCGTGCGTTGCGTGTCTCGTCCTCTAAGTGGGATTTTATTGCTTTTTGCCATATTTTATGTGATAGGTATTACGTGTTTTTATTATTTGATCAAATTCTTACACTCTGTTTCCGAAAGAAGGAAGAAAAATGAAGGAAAAGGAAAATTTGAAAGGGAGGAAAATGAAGGAAAAGGAAAATTGAAGAGAAGAAAAAATGTTGTTTTATGGAAGAAAGTGGGAGGAAAAATATATATTGGGAAGTGTGAAAGATATGTTATTTTATTGGTTATGTAATAGTAAGATAATTCAATTATGTGTTAATCAAAGTCAGTTGATGTCTGTCAAAACTGATAAAAATCGACATAAACTGGTTGAACCTCAGTTAGATCATTCCACTTATGGGTGAAAATCGGTAAGATATCGGTATCCCAATACCGAAAACCAAATTATATTCTAAAATCAATCCCAATACCAAAATAGTTTTGGTATTCCAAACCTAATCCTTTTTAAATATTTTGGTATCCCAATCGATATTCCAGTATCCTGATCAGTATTATCGAATATGAAATTATTTAAATTTATAATTAATAATAAAATATATAAATTAGATTTGAATGTTTAATTTAGAAAAAAGAGACTAAGCAAGGAGTTGGAGTCTGCCTAGATCTAGGACATTTGATTGATTAATATTAGTTGCTTCCCATTTTTATATTATTTTTCTCTATTGTTTGGTATTTCGGTATATACTGATCCCAATCTCATAATCCCTAATACCGAATTACACTTGAAATTTCAATTCCAATCTCAATCTTAGAAAAAAATTCATGTTTTCGGTAATACCAAATATCAAAAAATTCGATACAGTATTCGGTATATACCAAATATCGGTACCAAACTTCCAGACCTAAATTTCCACTTGCTAATAATTTGAGATTTTCTAAACAGTATTCAAAATTGAATTATTTTATTATAAAAGCACTCTCTAATAATTCTCAAAAGCCAGCGAGAGAATAAGTAGCGAGAGTAAAGTCTAATAAAATAATAGAAGTAATTAACCCAAACAAATAAAAGATAAATTAACACAAGTAATGAAAGTAAAGTAGCGAAAGGGGGAAAAAAAGTAAAACAACCCAGCCCAGCTTTCCCTCCGATTTGGAGGTTAGCTTCCAACCGTGTTTTTTCCCTTTCTTTTCTTTCTTCCGTTACTGTTCTAGCTCTAAAAAAACAGGGAAAAGCTTCTAGGTACTTGCGCTTCCCCTCCAATAAATCCCTTCCCTCCCTTTTCTCTCCTTCCAGAACAAGGGGTTAGTGACTATATATTTTCAGAATAATGTATATGGTTCATTAAAAAAAATAATGTATATGTTGGTCGCTTTTTGCTTAAAAAACGTAAGTAATGTCAAACGCGTATATAAAATTTTTGCGAAAAGTTGTTTCGATAATACAAAATAATTAATTTTATATTTTATTTTTACAAAATATAATTTTTTATCAATTATATCATATTAAAAATAAAATCAAATTTAAAACAATAATTATTAATATAAAATAAATCTAACAAGATCCATTTTGACTAATTTTTATTATCTAAAAAAATTTACTCATATTTTATATTATAAATCCTTTTTAGCCATTTTACATAATCTCTTATACTAAAAAACACTTCTAATAGTATTTCAGTCAAACACTCAACTTTTTTTTAGTACTTCTTTAAAAGTTTCAGCCATAAGCTGCTTCTATAAAAGCTACTGTTTTATGTTGAATTTCGCGTGACCAATGCACCATGACTTCAAGAAAACAGAAAACGATGTTACTCGGTTCACACCTCTTCAAACACTGTTCGACGAGGGTGTTCGATGCATACTTCAAAGGATCTGCTACTTTTACCTCTACTCCTATGGAGATTTCTTGAGAGTTCCGCAACTACTGACTACAACTAACAGAGAAGCCTCATTGGAGGGTCCCTGGTGCTACTGCTACAGTTACTATTCTAGGGAGAAAATAAAAATTTTGACGAGATTGTTTGTGATTTGATTTGTATGTCTTCCTCCAGAACCTTGCTGCAAGTTTTGTTGTTTCTCGCCCTCTAACCACCTTCTCTCTCTATTCCTCGAAATTAGCTCCACATAGCATTCTGTAACTCCTCTGAACGTCCTTTGCAAGTCAGTTGTTGCTTTTGGTAACCACTTTCAACACGTCATCATGTCCCTGGATAATCAACCCTACGTACCATGGATGAACAGTTAGATGGTCATCATACACCAAATAACATAGATGGCCATGTTATTGCATGGCACCATCCACTTTAAGTTTGGATGGTGTCCGTTATATTTGGGATGGTGTCCCTGATCTTGGATAGTACCATCCACCATAGGGTTTGGACGGTATCCATGTTATTGGACATTATCATCTATTATTGGATTTGGATGGTATCCATGTTATTTGACACTACCATCCATTATTTGATTTGGATGGTATTCATGATATTGGACACTACCTGCTATATCCCGGCTAGAGCAGTTCCTTCAACTATAACGTTAGTGTGTTACATCATATAAGTAATAGCGCTACATCACATAAGTAATTGTACGTGCTATAGTTCAAATTTCAGGGACGAAATTTTTTATAAGGGTGGAGGAAATTTAATACCCCGACATTTAGGTCTAGGTTCGACCAAACGTTCGGTTAACGGTTACGTACGAAGGGTTCAACCGTAGATTAGAGATAATAATAATAATAACCATCACCACCACCACCACGACCACCACCATCCGCCATTTCCCCTCATCAACAATAACGCCTTCTTCTTCTTATTATTATTATTATTATTATTATTATTATTGTGATTAAAATAATCATCAGGTCATCTCCACGTTCCTCTCTCCCATCACTAAGGAAGACAAGATAGAATCCCAAATTAAACCCTCCACCTTACGTTACCCCTCTCTCCCTCGGTCTATCTATCTCCTTTCCGTTACCATCGTTTTACCTTCATTTTTTTTTTTTTTGCCCCATAAACAAGATAGGACCAGCTCAGAGACAACCCTCCCCAAAACAAGAAGCTCCACGGTCTAGTGGCTTTTCTGTCCAAGCACAACAACAGCGAACGTCGTCCAGTCGTCCTGCTCCTCCGGCACGGTCCCCATCAGTGGTAGCGCCAGCGGACGACCCAAGCCCCTCGACATCGGCATTTGCAGCTGGAGTTGTCGAGTTAAGGTTCCCGACCTCCCCTATCCTCAAGCCCGACCTTTAAATCCCAGTTAAACCAACGTTTCCGCATGATGAACGTAGCTTCGACAGCGATCCTGGCGTACTCGACCTCAACCAAGCTTCAAAAACTTGGTACCATCTCGTAGAGGGCAATCTCAGGAGCACCCCGGATATGACGGAATCTAATTTCATCGTCGGACGTGGAAGATACGAGCCTCGAGAGCTTGGAACGTGAATCGAATAGTTCAGGTACCAAATCTGTCTATTCGAATATTATAAGGACCTAGATGGTAATTTCAGTTCAGTATGTGGGAAAATCTCACTACAAAAAAAAGTGGTTCTAACGAAGGGTGAAAACGGTCGTTAAAAGGCCCAAACCCATCGTTAGTAGTTATTAACGACGGTAAGCCTCCCCTCATTACAGGCTTTGCCGTTAGAAGCTAATAACGACCGGAATCTTTGACACCCTCGTTAAAACCTTTTACGAGGGGAGTGGTCTACTCTCGTTGATGTTAATAAATAATAACAAATACTTTTATTAAAAGTGCAATTAATTAACCAGATTATGTAGGTTACGATATGAAATTAATGATTGATTTCGTACCTTTTCATCACCCGGATTATGTTAGAATCAAGAATTACTTAATTTATTGGCAAAATACACTTTCATAGCCAAATCTATTCGCGTTGTGACAAATATAGCCAGTTTTTGAAAAATACACTCGTATAGCCACTTTTGAAAACTTGCTTGACAACTTTAGCCATTTCCGTTATAAACTTTAACACCGTTAACTCTTCAATGATGTGGATGTACACGTCATCAAATGTATGCCATGTGTCAGCCACCTCAGTTTAAATTATTATTTTAAATAATTTTCTTAATTATTTTTTCACCACTATTCTAATCAAAATGAAAAATCATTTAATTTTTTTCTCCCAATTCTCCTTTCCCCTTCCCCATGGAGAGAGCAGAGATTCGGATCTAATTTTTCTCCCAATTCTTTCTTTTCTTCTTCCCCGAGCCGCCGATCTCGTCGTTGTCGGCTTCATCCTCTGTTTGTCATTGGGTTGGAGGAGAAATCAGGGGAAATCATCTTCCCCTTCATCTTCTTCCTCACGCCAGAAACAGAGGAAATCATCTTCTTCTAGCCATTCACACATCAAAGCATAGACAAGTTCATAAACCCCAATTTTGAATCAACCAAGAACCAGCACTGAGATTTGGGAGAATCTCCCAAACCACAAATACGATTTCTGAATTCTCTCCTCAATCTTTGTCATCCTAAACCCTAGAAATTTCCCCCCAAAATATGCATCCCAATTCACGCCAGGTTCTCCTCAGAACCCCGAATTCTCGCCGCCTCCAAACCCTAACCTTCGATCCATCCCAGCCCCAAATCCTCCGCTCCCTGAAGCTCTCTCTGATCCCCGACCATGGAAACCCCGACGCTTTCTACTTCACCGCCAACGGGAAGCTCCTCTCCGACGACTCGATCCCCATCGGAGGCCTCGCGATTCTGGGTTCGCCGACCTCGCCTCGCTTTTCTGGAATCAACCGCCGGGTGCGACGAAGGATGATA